GTGACCTCGGCATCGCTCGGACGTCCACTCCCCGTGCATGTTTGTCGGTGTCGCGCGTGCCTTTCTTTGGTTTGTTGGGCAAGGTGATCGGGGATGTTGACCTTGGCATCGCTCGGACGTCCACTCCGCGTGCTCTTGTCAGTTTCGCGCGTGCCTTTTTGTTGTAAGATGATCCAGGATCTTCCCCTATGGTCCTCGCCCCCCCCCCCCCCCCCCAAAAAAAAAAATATATACACGCCCGAGCGATCCCAAGAGAACTTGGCTGCACGCAGCAGTGACAGCAGCCAACCCCCTTTTGCCTCCGCTGGCACGCCTGTGGTGACGAATTCGCCGGCCCAACAGACCAGAGGCGCGCTCAAATGCCAAAATCTCTGGCAGCGGCTTGCGAATACTTCCAGCTCGCGTGCGCGTGCCTGTCCTCGGGGGGTCCCTGGGCAAGAAATACCCGTCACAGACCCTAGGCTCAGGTCGAGCATGTCGCCCTACAGGGGGATTTTGGCCGAACAATGAAAGATACCCAAAACATACTCCCAAAATGCTCAAACATAGTTTTTACAAAAATCGTCCCCAGACTAAGTTCTGACTATTTTCGAACATTCCCGCTGTAGAGGGACAGGCCCGACTTAACCCTGGGCGGTCCCCGTCACGGATGCCGGAACTCCTGGGGGCTGTCTTCGGGCCTTCACGAGCGTCTCAAGGGGCCCCCAAGGCGGTCCAAGAGGGCCCAGAGACGCCAGAAGTCGTTCCAAGATGCCCAAGATAGCCTCCAGACGGCTACAATCGCCTCCAAGACGCCCGAAGATGCCTCCAATAGTTACTACTCCCACGAAGCCCCCCAGAGGTACGTCCTCCTGGCCGAGGCCAAGAGGGTCTATACACCATCCTGGGGCCCAGGATGGCCCTGGCCTGGCACGGTGGTGGTGTATAGATGCCTTCGTCGGAACCTAAGAGGCCTCCATGAGAATCCCACCACGGACCACGAGGGCCCCAAGACGGCCCCAGAGGCCTCCCAGACGGACAGAGAGGAGCCCGAAGACACCCCCAGGAGGGGGCCCGAAGGAGGAAGCGGAAACGGGCATCTCGAGCCCTCTGCCCCAAGAGGCGTCCAGGATGCCCCCTCCTCCTCCTCCTCCTCCTCCTCCTCCGCCTCCTCCTCCTTCTCCTCCTCCTCCTCCTCCTCCTCCTTCTCCTCCTCCTTCTCCTCCTCCTCCTCCTCCTCATCCTCCTCCTCCTCCTCGTCCTCCTCCTCCCCCTCCCCCCAAGAGCCCCCCCACGAGGGCCCAAGCGGCCCCCAAGAGGCGCCCAGAGAGCCCCAAGAGGCGTCCAAGGCGCCCCCAGGAGGCCCTCGAGGACCCCTGAAGCTGATGCACCGGAGCCCCGCGAGAACCCTCCGAAGAGACACAAAGAAGCATCCATGATGACTCTCACCCACAACCGCAGCAGCGCCGCATGGCCCACGAACGCGGCACGCAAACGCCAACGATGGCAAAATACGGGCCGGTGGAATGAGCGAAGCGAGTAAAGAATCTGCATCAAAATCGCCCCTGGGCGCTCCTTTCGGCGACTCCGAAGGGTGTGGTTTGCAAAGGGTGTGGTTTGCAACCGAACCCTGGGGGGGGGCACCCTGGGGGGCGGGCGGGGACCGCGATGTAGTTCTCCGCCGCGCCCCGAGCAGGCCCGACGAGGACAGCGTCGTGCTCCCCAGTCCCCAACGGTGCCGATCGCAAACCACACCCCAGCGTAACCATACCCTTTGTAGTCGCCGATCCTTGCTGCCGCACCAGCAGGGGGACTGCGGTCAAGGGGCAGCACACCTGCCAGTTGCCTGGCCAAGCTTCGGTCCAAAGCTACAGCACAATTTGGAACTCCGAGAGGCGGGGGGCAAAGGGGTGACTCTCGCCCGAGGCGTCGTGGGCATTCCAACGGAGCTGCCAGAAACAGGGGAGACCACCAAGGTCTACGGGGTGCATTTGCACGACCATCATCACACCATCATTACCACCACCATCATCATCATCACCATCACCACCACCACCACCACCATCATCATCATCATCATCATCATCATCATCATCAGCAGCAGCAGCAGCAGCATCATCAGCATCAGCATCAGCATCAGCACCGTCATCACCATCTCATCATACATACGTGTATCATCATCATCATCATCATCATCATCATCATCATCATCATCATCATCATCCTCATCAGCATCACCATCACCATCACCATCATCATGATCGTCATCAGCACCAGCAGCATCACATCATCATCAGCATCATCAGCATCACCATCACCATCAACATCATCATCATCAGCATCATCATCATATGATCAGCATCATCATCATCATCAGCAGCAGCAGCATCATTACCATCATCATCATCACCACCATCGTAATCATTAGCATCATTACCCTCATCAGCGTCATCATCAGCATCATCATCACTAACAGCATCAGAATCGTCATAATCATCATTATCTTCATCATTATCAGCATCATCATTATCAGTATCATCGCCATCATCATCAACATCCTTACCGTAATCACCATCATCATCGTCATCATCATCAGCAGCAGCAGTATCATCACCGTCATGATGATGATCATCATCATCAGCATTATCATCACGTTCATCATAACAGTCTGTTGCTTCCTCGTCATCGTTACCGTCATTGTCATCATCATCATCACCAACATCATCAACACCGTCATCATCATCATCATCATCATCATCAACATCAGTATCCTAATCATCGTCATCCACAAGCGTTATCAGCATCATCATCATCGTCGTCATCGTCATCACCATCATCATAAGATTCCACATCATCATCACCATCATCAGCATCATCATCATCATCGCCATTAGCATCATCAGCAGCAGCATAGTCGTGATCATCACCATCGTCATAAGAATCATCATCATGGGCAGCAGCAGCATCAGCATCATCATCATCAGCATCAGCATCGTCATCAGCATCGTCGTCTGCATCGTCATCCTCATCCACATCACCATCGTCATCAGCATCGGCATCCTCAGCATCGTCATCGTCATTGTCATGATCATCAGCAACAGCATCATCATCACCATCACCATCATCGTAATCATCATCACCACCACCACCATCATCATCGTCATCAACATCGTCATCGTCATCGTAATCATCAGCAGCATCGTCATCATCAGCAGCAGCAGCATCATCACCATCAGCATCATCGTCGTCATCAACGTCGTCATCATTCACATCGACATTACCATCACCATCGACCATCACCATCACCATCAGCATCATCATCCTCATCAACGTCGTCATCATCAGATTCATCTCCATCTTCATCATCATCACCAGCATCATCATCATCGTCGTCATCATCGTCATGCTCATCATCATCATCAGCAGCATCATCATAATGAACATCTTCATCATCATCATCATCAACATCATCTGCAGCACAATCGTCACCGCCAACTTCGCCATCATCATCAGCAGCAGCAGCACCGTCATCGTAACGACAATACGTTTCAGGCTGGTCGCTCTCATCTGCTAGCGTGCCAATCAACCTGTATGTCCCGAACACTCGATGACCGCCCTCTTCGTATTCGATCGTACCCCCGTGGGGGTATAACTCCCTTACGAGTTACGCGTACTTGGCGCAGCCCCTAGGACAGGAAGAGGAGGGAGACAAGAAAAAAATAGAGCGAGGTAGAGGGACGGGGCAAGGGAGAGGGAGAAGGATAGAGCACGAGAGAGATTAGGAGGGGGGCGAGAAGCAGGAACAAAAGCGGCAGAAACACACGGGCGGGTCGGGCGGGCGGACCCCAACTGACGGGTCGGGCGGACGGGCCTGAGTGTCGAGGAAGTTCAGAACGAGAGCGTGAGTCCTCAGTTTTGAGGGCGCGGCGCCTTTTCAAAAATGCGAGGAAGGCCCACACGAGAGCGCGATCCCTGAGTAAACTGCAAAGAATTTCCGAGCGAGCGCGCGATTCTGCAATAGAATGTAGGACTGTATCAGGCTGGAGCCGTTGCTGTAGCAGTTCGGGGGCCAACAGCGCAGTTTGGAGACCCAAGACTTCGCCTGGTCTTAACCATAGTCATTCTTAAGAGATGAAGGTTCAATAACATCCTACTCCTCGCCCTCCTCTCGTTCATACTCGTCCCCCTCACCGTCCTCGTCTTCGCAGTATTCACTGATCCTCCTCCTTCTCCTCCTCCTCCTCCTCCTCCTCCTCCTCCTCCTCTTCCCGGTTCCTCCCATCGTTCCTCATTGTCCTCCCTCGCGCCCACCTGCCAGCGCGCATCGAAAACCTGCCGAGTTCGCACGGGAGCAGTCCACCCAACTTTTTTGAGTCAGCGGCGCAGAAGGTTCCACAAGCGCGAGCAGCAGATGGAGGCTCTAATCAAGATCGAGCATAGTCGAAAGCGTAGTGAAAGAAGCGTCAATCGCAGGCGTGCAAAGATGGATGGTGGGTAGGAAGGACTGTAACCCAGCGAACGTGCAGCGGCCAGAAACCGAGGAGCACGCCAAGGCGAGCCCGACTCAAAGGTGAACTGAAGGGCGAGCAGTCTGGTGCTAATTGCCACTGAATCATCGAACGATCGATGCAGCCCCGCCCCCCGCACACGCACACACGACACGGCACAACACGACACGACACGACACGCAGGGCAGAGAGAGGGACGCAGATCGAGAGCCGAAGTCGGGTCGAGGATGGACGAGACGATAAAATGTTAGATCGGCGGCAAGCCCCCCACACAAGGGCTCAAGAGAAGGAGGCTAAGGTCGCTGAGAAGACGTCGAGAGCGGGAGAGGCGAGTCATGCCTCGAGTCCAGCGATGGGATCGCCAGAACAAACACAAGACAGACATATGCCGCTGGGGAAGGGAGACCACAAAGGGAGCAGCTTCAGCGCACGCTGGCACCAGCGCGCGCCTGCCTGCGCTCCTTCCACGGTGCCCGGGGAAGGGTCTGGGAAAGGGGGTGGACGAGGCGGCACCGATGGTGCTCTTCTCGACACCTCGGGGTCGTCGCGCTCCGCGTTGTTGAGCCTGGCGCCGCCGGCAGGTCCGCGCTCAGTCTCGCACTTCCCCCTTCACCATCGCTCGTCACCGCCCGCCGTCTTCCTCTCATCGTCCTCGCCCTCCCTGGCCCTCGTCCCTCTGGTCAGGCGTCCGGCATCATGCGGGGTGCGGCAGCGAGCTGCGCTGGGCCTCATGGAGACGCCCATGGAGTCGCCGACCTCGAGCATTGGGGAGCACGCTCGACAAGAGAGATTCTGGGACTGACATCGATGTCAGAACGGGCACGCTGATGGGGCACCATGCAGCCACAGCGAAGAGGCGGGAGTAAAACCGACAAAACGCGCGAGGACAGAGAGGGACGGGGAACACGCAGGAGGAAGCGACGGAACGGCAGAAAGCAGCAAGAATGGCATGTGCATGGAGGGAAGGATATTAAGACAGAGAAAAGAATGTGGAGGTGGACAGAATTGATCCCTCAGAGGCAGCAACGAGGTTCCTCAGGGGGGAATTGATCCAACAGTGATGATGGTGGTGATGTTGATGATCATGAACATGAAGACGAAGAAGAAGATGCAATTCAAGATGACGATGATGACAATAATGACAATCGTGATGTTGATGATGATGATGGCGACGATGACGACGATGATGATGATGATGATGATGATGATGATGATGATGAGATGATGAGATGATGAGATGATGAGATGATGAGATGATGAGATGATGATACTGATGGCCATGATCGTGATCGTGGCGATGGTGACGATGATGGTAAAGATGATAATGATGATGATGGTGATGATGATGATGCTGATGATACTACTGATGGTGGTGGTAATGAGGAGAACAGTGACGACGACGGCAATGGCGACGATGAAGATTACATTGAAGATGAAGATTACGATAATTATCAAGTTGAAGATGAAGATGACGATGAAGATGAAACTAAAGATAACGATTAAGATGAAGATGGTGATGGTGATGTTGATGATGATGGTGATGAGAAGGACGATAATGGTGATGATGATGAGGATGATGATGATGATCACAAGAATGATGATGGTGATGATGCTGGTGGTGATGATGAGGAGGACAAGGAGGAGAATGATGATCATGACGATGATGATGATGATGATGATGATGATGATGATGTTGACAGTGGTGATGGTGATGACGATGGTGATGGTGATGATGATGCTGATGGTGGTGATGGTGATGGTGATGGTGATGGTGATGGTGATGGTGATGGTGATGGTGATGGTGATGGTGATGGTGATGGTGATGGTGATGGTGATGGTGGTGATGGTGATGGTGATGGTGATGGTGATGGTGATGATGATGGATGATGATGATGATGGGATGGTGATGGTGATGGTGATGGTGATGGTGATGGTGATGGTGATGGTGATGGTGATGGTGATGGTGATGGTGATGGTGATGGTGATGGTGATGGTGATGGTGATGGTGATGGTGCTGCTGATGATGGTGATGGTGCTGCTGATGATGGTGATGGTGATGATGATGCTGATGAAGCTGTTGTTCACGATGGTGGCACGTTTCCTGTAGAAGCGATCACCGCACGACAGCACCGTTTTGCGGTGCCCAGACGTGCGGACACCACGCGGCATTATGGACAGGATAAGGCTCGCATACAGCAGAGGTGCGGACTGCTACTGCCGCATGCAGCGAGTCAGAATAATGATCCACTTCTCCCGAACACGACATGCCGCACGGTGCAACAGCACCAAACAGCATACGGCCCTCCAAGCATTGCCACGACAATGAGCTGCACTGAGAATACATGCAAGCCCTGTCTGCGCGTGCTCCTGGTGCCGTCAGGGCCCAACATCTCAGCAGCACCAGCCGAGGCAAAACCGAGCCTCGCCGCAATCGAGCCCCGAAGCAGCACACGAGAAGGCCCGAAAGGGCCTTCAGAGGGGCCCTTGACGTCCGAAGAGGCCGCCCAAGACAGTCCAGAAGGGGCTCCAGAGCGCGCGAAATGCCCCAAGACGCCCCACGAGGGACCTAAGATGGGCCCAGGTCCCCCAAGAAGCTCCCAGACAGCCCCAAAGGTGTCCTAAGGCGCCCCGCGCCCTGTCATTTATTAGTTTTCTTCAGCGCGAAGAAGAAAAGCTGAAGGGATAACGCGAAGCAAACAAACCGACGACCCACAAATGCATAAAGACGGCGAACTGCAAGAGCGAGGAGGGAAACCAGGAGGACCTGCCAATGCCCCTCCTCCTGTGTGTGTCTTTCTCTCTCTCTCTCTCTCTCTCTCTCTCTTACTCTCCCACATCTCCTCCTCCTCATCCTCCTCATCCTCCTCCTCCTCCTCCTAAGCGTCACGGCCGTCTCTCCGCTGGATGGCGCCCGGCCGTCCAAGCAGCCCGCCGAGAGGGGGCCGAAAAAAAACCCACGGCGGCCCTGGCAGCCTCAAAGTCCCCTGGGACGGGCTGAGGCCACCCAAGCTGGAATCCGCAGCCCCAGGAATGGCCCCAAGACGGCCCCAACACGGCTCCCAGGCTGCCCCAGAGCACCCCCAAGCGCTGCCCAAAGTCGCACGGGCACAGCACGGGCAGCCCGTGCAAGAAAACCAAGAAAGGCTGCAACCAGCCCGCAGTCGCCACGGTTGGGCTCCCCCTTGCCCCCACCCCCTCCTCGTCCTCCTCCTCCTCCTCCTCCTCCTCCTCCTCCTCCTCCTCCTCCTCCCCCTCCTCCTGCTCCTGCT